TGATATTGTTGCTGAGATTGTTGTTTGTTGTTGTTGTTTGGTGTTGGGTATTGTGCTGGCTCGCTTTATGATCTTTTTATATTTATTGTCATCAAACGTATTTTGTTGAAGCTTTTTGTATGCATTTGAATTTATGATTTTGGTTTTCGTCTCTTTGACTTTCATATAGGTTATAATTTCCGATTGTGAACCATAAATATTATTGTGTTCGTTACGAATTGTTCAATACCACAATGCCACGATGCAAAAGTATTTTCTTTTCTGTTTATCAATTTTAATAAACGCCCAACGTAAGTTGTGAACTTTTTCCAATAGATCGTGGACCAGCTAACAAATGAAATCAATTTGTTGGCTTTGCTTAATATCACCGAGATTACGCATAGGGTTGGAGTTAAATGCCCTGAATATCATTTAATAATTTAGTTTAAGTAAAAGTAAAATATTTTCAAAGATCGACTCCGTTAATTATGTTGAACAAGAATATATATATATAATATATATAATATATAAATATATATATATATATACCAATCAGTCAATCAGGACAAACAGTTAGTTATATATAGAGATATATATACTTTATAGGATTGGCGATGTTTCCTTTTGCCTGTTACACACATTCCTTTTTCGCATTAAAACATTTTAAAATAATCAAAGTTTTCTGGAGTAATGCTTCCTTTGTAAAAACACTCGTATATCAAAATTTCCTTAGTCTTACTAATTTCACTTATTTCACTATGCAATTTATGTAATTTATAAAGCATCACGCTATAAAACTGATAATTAAATATAAAAAAATAAGGCCCTGGAAGACCTTTACATGAATCAACTATAGCCGCTGGCATTGGGATTGCCCGCAGCGGATAATTTGCGTCAAAATGTCAGTTTATTTGAAGAGCCAGTCCCCAAGTTGTCGGCGTTGAGAGACGTGCAATTGAATTAAAATTAAAATATATAGCGCAAAGGCAGGCACAAAAAAAAAATGCATTCGTTATAATTTGCAATTTATTTACGAGCAACATGTGCGCGTGGAGGGGATTCACGGGGGTCGCGTGTTGCAACAAAAATTATAAATTTAAAAAAATAATTAAAAACCATTTGGTTGCGGCGCCGTGGATGCCAATGCCAAATGCCGGATTCGGTTTGTCCAGCACACAACTCGCATTCAATTAATGCAAAATGTCCTAAAATGAACGCATTTTTCACTGATTGTTGGCGATTGTCAAGCGCGGCCTCCGTTGACATTCAGCAGCGCCGGCGGCTGGCAAATTGGAATGCGCCCGCGGTACGTGATCCCCGCGTGAGCTGCACGTTTCCCAATGCCGATTGTCAGACCCAATCCCATAGTGTATAACTGCTTTTTATTCTTTTTGTGTTCGTTAAATAATGGGATAAAAGTATATAAAATTAAGCAATGGGCTGTCCCAGCTGCCAGTTGCCAGTCAGTTTTTGAACTCTTTTCCAACTTGTCACATGACATTTCAACAGATTAATCGAAATGCTATGCAGCGGGGCTGCATCTACGAGTCACTCACAGATTATTATAATAATATTCTAAGGCTAAAAACTTTTATCCAGGCGACTTCTTATATATAATTTTAACGGGAACACAAAACGGGAAATTGAATTGCGGAACGAATAGCGCAAACTTCCGGCGAAAATCTTCTAGATATTGACGATTTGTACCAAATTTTCCACCAAAGAGGTAACGATAATTAACTGATAAATATAAATCTTCATGAATATAGAATAGAATCGCGTGCAGACTTTTTGGTCTCAATGTACGCTTATCGGGGCAGTCCGCATCGATGTGATTTCCAAGTGCTCCAAGGCTGTAAATTTCGATGTCTCGCGGCAACAACGTCGTTCGATTCACTCAATGTCCAAGTATAAATCTCAAATTGGGCAAACAGGTAATCACTCAATTCGCCCTGATTTGGTTCAGATTGGTAACGCCATAAATAGTTGTCAATATGGTTGATGGCTGCTCCGATCAGGGCTGGTGTTTTGCGTTTGGGCTCATAAATTAATTCAATCAATGTCGAAAGAAATTGTTATTTCACATCTGAGTGCGGCCATAAATTCGCGCCATGTCGATCTTATCGCTAATCGATGTGTATGTATGTGTCGAGTGGGTGGGCCGAGATGTGATGGGGCTGCCATCAGTCGGGCTCCATGGGAATGACACACATATTAGTTGGCTCATAAATTAAAGTAAACTAATTTCTCTATTCATTATGTAGAGCGATATGCGATATAATTGCGATAAGCGGTTCGCCACGGCATGAGTATTTTTGTTTGTTTAACTTTAAGTACTTGCGAGTATCTTCTTTAACCCGAACGAGCTATTCATCGTTTCTGTATGCGTATTTATGCGTAGCTGTGTACTTGTACGTGTAATATGTACGCCTCAGTTGATGTATTCATTGCCATTGGAGTCAATCAAAGGCTCATCTGTCAAATGACAAATGATTTTAAAATCACTTCGCAAAGCTGCATCACTTAGCCCATAGAGCCCAGAAGTCGAGCTACTTCAAGCACTGTCAGAGGGAATAAAAAAACACGCACACACAAAAATTCCATAGATAACGGATGCGGGAAACAGACACTTTAAATGCTTGCGATATTGTCAATCAAAATTCAATCGAAACCATGAATCATGACAGCCAGAGGATGGTTATGCTGATGATGGCTTCAAGAGCGACTCGGTCTCACTCATTCAACGCTGATGGATAGATGGATGGCTGGTTGGACGGATGGATGGATGTCTGAATGGCTCGGTTGGTTCGCAGCTCAAAAGAAAAAACTGAAATCGCTCAAACAGTGAATGCGTGTTGAATGTTGGCCCCATACACCCATCCATGTGGCAGGCACTTGTCGTTTGAGTAGCACTGGCAAAAAGCATTTAGCATTGGCATCCTGCCGCATGCCACATGCCACATGCCACATGAGATCCTCAGGACAAGCCATGCGAGTGTCAAGCACATTGCGCTCCTCCTCATCATCATCATCATCATCGTCATCTCCACCAACATCTCCGATGTCATCAGTCAATGTCATTGAGATAGTTTTGACATTTTTATGAGCAAATGATAAGACCCACTCACACTGCTGGGTGCTTGTCTGATGGCCAATGTTTGACACTTGCCAGCCCCATTCACAATTGGCATTCCAAAACTTCCCGTAACTCCCCTCCCCCAACATCATTCTCTACTTTGCTGACATACGAGTTGTAGACAGTTTTTTATTTCGCGTTTGTTGTGTGCATTTGAAATTTATGACTTGGCCTGATTATCTAACGTATACGCGGTTTTTTAAATTTAACGCTGACAGAGTACAACCCTATCTTTCAGTATTGCCATTGCAATCAATCATGCTGGTCATCTACAGGCACAGTCGCTAAATGTTGGCAAAGTCCGCGTAAAATACGAGTTACTTCTAGTGACAAATTGGGTTTCCACAGAGATCTTAATACCAGATACTTAACATACTTTTTATATAGGTATTTATGAATAACATTAAAACTATAAAGGAAGGATATCTACGGGAAGCCGAAGATTTAATACCCTTTTAGACATTTCCGTTTCCGCTTTCTATGTGAGAATAGAACAGACAGAGGGATATACAGGCATGGCTATATCAACTCGGATCTTGATGCAGATTTAGAGTATATACTTTATGGAATATATACTTTATGGTATCGGATTTGTCTACTTCTATGCGATACACATTTCGTGACAAAATTTTAATACCCTCTACAAGGGCATGAAATGCAAAAAGCCAAAAAGATTAAGTTTCTGTAAGAGGCGACGATATTAAACACTTTGGAAGTCTGGAATTAAAGATTTCACTATTTATCATTAATCCACAATTGGCAATTAAGTACGAAAAACCAGTTTCAACCGAACGCTTTTCTCGAAACCAACATTAAGTAAAGTTCAGATAAAAATATATATTTTAACATTTTTGACCAAGAGTGAAGAAAAACTTAGAAACTGATTTCGCTCCAAAGCATTTTTATGGCCACATGAATTTTCTTATCAATTGTCAACATTCAACATGCCTCAAAATGTATCAAAATATGCACGATGAGCCATGCCTTTGGGTAATAAATTTTGTAAATAATTTCCTGTTACCAGCTATATAAATAATATTTCTAAAAAACGAACGAAAAATTTGGCTTTTGGAAGCCACAAGAATAGCGACAGCTTTTGACCATTAATAATTGCAGTGCATTGTTATTGACCAAAGCGAAAATTTATTTTTGCCTACTAATATTGACTTCCGTTTCCGCTTGAAAGTTCAAAGTATGTTTCCGTTCGCTCTCTCTCTCTATCCCCCTCTCTCTCTCTGCCGATTGGCTTCCTCCATTACATTTCCCAACTAGCCGTGAAATTTGTTATCGCCGCATTTACAAACATCGGCAAAAAAAAGAGCAAAAATAGAATTAAAATTTCCGCAAAATGTTGCAGCAGAAAAAGACAACTGTTTACAAATCAGACAAATAAATTTGCAAATAAATACCCATACGCGAAATATTTGACATATATTAATTAAAAATGGGCGAAAATTTATATTAATTTTATTCAAATTGTCAACGGCAGCAAAGGAAGCTAATTTCAATTTATTTTATTTGTCTCTCCCAGGTTTGTCATCAGCCCCTTTGAACCTTTGCCCACCGTTGAATGCAAGAGAAAGCGCATAGATAAAATTGACATTTCTAAAAATTACAAATACATAAATTCCAATATTGTATTGTATTGTTTTTATCTGTCGCAAAATAAATCACAAGTATTAACTTAACATTGAGTACTGTTTATTTTGGAATTTAATAAATAAAATAGTTCATTTCTTATGTTGGGAGAAGCTTTGATGGTTCGAGTTCTCAACAGAGTGATATTTTTCAAGCGTCCAAGATATATTAAAACGTAAATATATTTTAACAAATAACAAAACGTAATACTATAATTGTCTTCAATAAAAGATCGCTTAAAATATATCAAAGTTTATTGAACTTTATAAAAAAAACCATCGAAATAGTTCAATTTTACTGAAATCGAACCTTGTCCACAAATGTTTAGTCTGTGTTCTGTGTTCATTCTGATTCCTCTCTGGTTCATTAAATGAATATATTTACGCATAACAAACCGGAAATATAGAACAAACGTAAGAAACTGTAGACACACTGCTAACCAGCTGAGTCCCTTGGCCAGGAATTGTAAGCCATTGAAACTATCATAAACAACATCATCACATCCCCTCGTGATTAAAACGTTCCCATCATTATAACATATTGGAGGCACCTTAAGCAGGTAGTCCAAATAAGTTCGTGGTCCCTCCAGGCCACAACAACCCAACTGAGACAAGAAATATACATATAAGAAATATACAATAAATATGTCAAATTTTCAATCGGAGGTTCCACCTTTGCCTGTATCTCAATCCAAAACTGATCATCAGATTCAAAGTATTTTCGCCAATGTTCAATAAGAAAATCGCGACCATCTTTGACAGATATGAGTGTTGCAAGCTGAACGACACATGTGGCATATGTGCGGTGCATAGCATATATTAGTAGAGGCAAATACTAAGGCATATCAATTATATTTCAAACATATTTAAAGGCTTTCATTTACATACCAGCACAGCAATCCAATCGGTCGTCGCATAGAGCAGAGCAACACTTAGATATATCGATACCATCTCAAGCACTATCAAACTAGTTAGTGATATATAGACCCTTATCACAAGAAATTTCATTCTATTAAACAGATATTGTTCATCATATCCCAATATGTGGGGCACAGTTATGCGCACTGTTATCACAACTATAAACTGAAACAAAAGAATCAGTGATAAAAGCTTTTAACTTATCAGTTATGATATTTGAGTTAGTGTTTAACAATCCTTACGCCAAGTATAACAATAAATGAATATTTCACAGCTACTGCCAGCATTTTGGGAATTTAATATTTTCCCAAATAAATTTTGAAGTTTATTGCTAAGCTAAGTTCTAAGTACTATAAATATTAATATATAAATAATTTGAAGATAAACAATAATAATGTATAGTGGAATTCTGCTCTCCAATCTTCCCAATTATATTATGTATTATTTATTTGGTCAGGATCTTTCTCTTCCTTATAACAAATCATATTTGATAAAAGAAAAATTGATTAGCAGCAAAAAAAATGTTAATAAATTGAAAAATAAATATAGTTCCGATTTCGAACCGGTTCCGCTTAAAAGCTGATTGGTAGCCTTGGTATCAACAATCAAACAATCTGAAGCCAACTGTTTTTGTTGTTTGCATTGTTTGCATAGCTAACTAAAAATCTGTACATATTAATATTAAATACTTGTAAATATTTTTTTAAGCCCAATTATTTATTGTAAATGTTGGCCCGCTCTATGCTTATATTTTTTTGTTTCCATTTTTTTCTTTTGTTTTTTGTGTAAACAAAATTCACATTGTTGATTTATGGGATTTGTTATATTTGACACTTGCTGTTGTTGCTGTGGCAGTGGCAACTGCAGCTGCATTGTTGTAGCCATTTTATTAGCGTCAAGCTGTGCGTGTGTGTGTGTTGGGACGGGAGGGGCTATTTTATAATCGGCTTTCTATATTAATTTAAATTTTATTTTTGGTATTTTATTATAATTACTCTTGATAAATGTAAATAGTCATCGTTAGCAGCAGCATTTTGGTTTGTTATATTTGTTATTGTTGTTGTTGTTGTTGTTGTTACATCTACTGCACTTGATGTTGTTTAATTTAATTGTCCCCCGACTCCCTCTCTCTCACACTCCCACAGTCCTTCTCTGTGTTCTACCAATACTCGGATATCTCGTTTCTATTGCCCGTCCCTCAAATCCCATTCTAAACAGAATACCAAAAATATTTTCGCGGTTTTGAATGTTTTTAATTGTATTAGTAATTTCTGTTGTTGTTTATGCAAAAAATTAACATTCTATGCTCTTTGTAATAAGCGATCCAAAATGAGGACAATCCACAAAAAAAACAACAACAACAAAAAATTGTATAATATTTTGCACAAACATTTATTATAGTTTATATTTATAATAATTTAATGCTAATTTCAACAAATCCAAAAGCATTTGTGGCTCTGTGCCTAAACACAAGTTTTGCATAGAAGCACTTTTGTATCTGCTAGTGATATTTTAATTTTACTGTCACATTTGATCATAAATTTTCAGATTAATAAATAATGCGTCGAGCGGTTTGGGTTGGTAAATTCTGTGCTTCCAACTACTAAACCACATGCGGAGGCTAAAGACTAAACTGCAAGGATTTTATAAGCCTGGCTTTCAGCATTGCGATATTAAATTAAACTTCCTGGTTAAAATTGTCATCTGAAAATCATATGTAATTCCACAAAAGTTATCTACACACAAATGATTAAATACACACATAAATATATTTGTAAAAATCTGAAAATTGTTCACTGAATATGCAGAACGAGAACCGTCGAAACAGCTACGATGTTATTTCCATACCATCCTATGAATCGATTCCAGTTAAGTCGGAAAGTTCACATCCATCGCAGGATGCAGTCAGAGTAACGAGCCAAATGGTCTTCAATCTGAAATGTAATGCCGATGGCAATGTACCGCTTCCTTTTTTGCCGTTCAATGCGCCAACACCGCCAGTTTCCGAGGCTGGGGATACAGATTTTCTCGATTCAGATCCATTGTCGAAAGACACCTTAGCCTTTAATGTTTCAGATATTGAAGCTAGTATTGAAGTGTTCTGTCCACAGCTCATGATTATCTATGGGCAGGGTGATATTAATTGTGCCCTATACTTTTTAATTGACTCTCTACATCGGCCCTTTCAATCGAATGCGGTGGTCACGGTGCTCGTGGAGGAGAGCATGCGCGATGAGTTGGTGGAGCGCATTCTTGCGCAGATGCGACCGCTGTGCGAACGAGAGGCCACACATTCCAGCTATCGGGCCTCAGTGAAGGCGCTTCAGGATCTCCATTTGGATGTAATCACTGCCAGCGAGAAGCAAGTTCCACCGCCATTGGCCACGCCCATTGTGGTCTGCAATGGCCGGCATAGTCTGCTGGGCTTCGGTCCGACAGGTGTCATCTGCCTGCACACCTTCCGCACCACAAACGAGATCATCGATATATGCCGCAAGGACAATGTGAACTTTGAGAGCGTCAACATTTGGAACGAGTCTGTGGAGGGTCTCTACCAGCTGGTCGTAAACCTCGACTGCTCCAACTTCTTCTTCAACTGCTGTAATGTGAACTTGGGCCCCATTATTCCATCACATGCCGTGAACAAAATTGATGTGCACATTGTCGATCGCTTCCACTATGAGACTCTGCAGGTCAATGAGAAAAAGAAGATCATAGTATTTCCGATAGGTGAGCATTTAGCCCAGCGAAGTACAGAAGATCGCAGAATTTCGCTGGCTCCCATTGTCTTCCTCAATGAATGAGCCCATCTTGGCTTCCAGCTTCCTCATTATCACCTTTTTGGCTGGCACGTTTCGGGAGTTTCCGAGATACAAATTCGTTCAATTGTTTATGCCAAAAATATATAAATTTCCATCAATATTTCGCGTTATTTTTGGATCAATGATAAGGCATTTAATGCTAATTGACTTTGATGATGATGCGATCGAATATGATGGCAGCTGTCAGCGGCCGTAATACGAGTAATATATGTATATCTTTTGTTTTTTGCTTGTTTTTTTTTTTTTATTAGGGTTCGTTTAATGAGTCCGTCTTATGTAAATATGAGCAGTTAGCAAACGGGTTAAGCGCATGACTAATTCGGCTTGCAGTTCCTCGAGCACTGCAAGCTCATTTGCCTTCCTGCTGCCTAGCCCACTGCCACCTAGCCACGGTTCTTATAAAGGAAGATAACAGTGTCAAAGTAAATCAAATAAAAATAAATCACCCAATAATGGTGTGCATAGAGCTACAAAAAAGCTCTTTAGGATCATTTGGTGAAAACATAATTTATATTTATCTCATTTTAAAGAGAATCTTTGAATTGTATATCAACAAAATATAATAATAAGAATAATATATATAACAAAAAAATAATACTAAATAAATAAATAATAATAATTAATTAATAATTTATATAATTATAATGTGAGTTTCATGTGACATGTTTTATAACTATAATTTAGCCCAAAGTCCTTAGTAAATACATCAAATAATTTTGTTGTTTTCAACATAGGAAAGTTGTATTTAGGCCCAAAATGTTGCAATAATTATAATCTCATTATTCAGAAATTCCTTTAAATATAAATCCTAATAATTACTAATACTATTTGGCAGGATAATGCCATTGCAGTGTATTTGAAAGTCTGCTACAGCCGATACGATCAAGCCCACTTGCTTTGCGATACATTCGCAACGCTTCATTTGAAATTTACGAGCGACTTTTAAGAGCGCCAAGCCGGACACATTATGCGACGGATTCAGCTGGCCAATAAAACCATCAGTTTACGACTGTGGAAAGGATGATGCGTGAGTGACGGAGTCGTCGTCATCGTCATTGTCATCGACATCGACATGGACGCACCTCCCGGCACTTAAGAGCGCCAAAAATAAATAATCTTTGCGATTGTCGGTATTGAATTTATGCAGCATAAATCTTGCAAGAAGTGACACGAGCGACACACAGATCCCAGACGAAATGGGCAACAGTGTAAATAACTGTGTGTGGCTCATCTGGCTCAGGGCCTCCAAATGGCGCAGGTGCAGCCGTAGCTGGAGTTCGTATTGGGGCTCTAATTGTGGACAATTCGTTGAATTCATTATAAAATGCGGTTTGAATTATTTGTGAAAATGTCTGTCAGATAGTATGTATGTCTGGCTGCCATCTCCAATGGATGTGACATTGATGCTGACATTGACGTACAGCCAGACGAATGCCGCAGCTCCAACGAAATAAATATAATTGTTAATGGCCAGCGAGTCATCTAATCATGCAGCCAGTCAGTCAGTCCCTCTGTCATTCTATCAGCTAGACAGTGCTGCGGCAGTCAGTGCCTTTTAGCCATTATTTAATATGTTATTTTATTGTTATACATTCGCACCGGTATTATGCAAATTACACATTACCCTGAGTAATTGCCGCATTGCAGACTCGTTAATGTCCGCTGCAAAGCCAATTACCTCTACCATTTACCAATGATCTCTTCATATTTGTCCATATATGCATAAAATGTAAGCTCAATCTGTACTGTTAACACCTTTATGTGTTTTGAACCAGTTGCAAGAGACTTGACTAAACTGCACAGTAATCCGGTTGCATTTAATTGCCATCTAAATGATCTAATATGCATATGCAGACAATTATAGCCAGTCATAATATGCATAAGATATGATAAGAATACGTTTAGCTTATATCGTGGAATACTGAGATTGCAAAATGAATATTAATTTGTATTATTTGGCTTTACTTTCACTTAGTCGAGCCCAATTAATACATAAATTAAAAAACAGGGCACAATATACATATAATTTAATCAAATTTGTACTCATATTTCTAGACTAATTTTGAGTTTATTTAATATTAAAATACAATAAGATAATGAATAAGACAATTTGTAAACATAATACGCAATTTTAAATTTAGTTTTATTATTTAAGTAAAGATCATTTTGGATCTTTAACTGGATCTATACGGTAGTTTTTTGACGTTTTTTAGTATTACTTATATGGAAAAGAATTGTCAATCCCAAGAAAGTTAAGAAATAATTATTCCTATTGTAATTTTTGATACATACTGACTTTCTTAAATATATTGTAGAAAATGATTTTTAGCTCTACGAGTTATATTCTAGTTATAAATGTATCTATTAAATATATAGTTTTTTTTTAATCTATAACCCACTTTAATATAAGGGTTTAACGGCTAAAGATTTGAATAAATAATTGATTGGCCCTCATGCATGCAAGCCAAATATACTAGATGCAATAATTAAAGTTTATTCGTTTAGCAGAGATATATGAGTATTTAAAAGTCTGGTAGGGTGGTGAGGACCTTAAGCTGGCAGAGTACGAGGACAAGCTGAAGAAACAAAGTGCAGCAAGGACTAAGGACTGGCCCTTGGCTGGAGCTAAAGGAATACGAGAGTGCATAGCAGTACGTAGCTGTCAGTTTCAATCGTGTCTGCAGAACTTGTCACTCATTCAATAGTTTGAAAATTGCAAATGTCACTTACAACTCAGGCAACACACACACACACACATACTCAAGCATGTGTGTATCTATAGCTATGTGTAAACATTCTAGCCAAGGATGTGACTGAGACAATGTTGCTGGAGACGTTGCCAAAGGACGACAAAGTCTACCAAGAATGCCAGAGGATGACGCGCCAGCAGACGCTGTGAATTAAAACAAGGCCAGGAATAAAATAATAAAAGGACAAAAGACAAAAGCATAAGAAAACTTGAGCTCACAACGCACTGCGTGTGGGTGTGTGTGTGGGTATGCATGTGTGTGTGGGCGGATGAGTGTGTGACTATGAACGTGGATATTGACCCATTTAGTAGTTTGAGTAAGCTGAGCTGAGCAAGTGCAATATTTTGTGGGCCATTCGCCCACCCACCCGACCACACACAAACATACACACACACATGCACACCCGGGTACAGCATGTACGCATCAAAATCAGACTTGTAATCCAAGTGCAAGTTGCGAATCCAAAAATCCATCCATCGGCTGCAGCAGCATCTTCTGGCAGCATCCTTCGCCTTGGCCGGGCGGCATCCTTCGAGTTTGCTTGCGAGCATTTGCGCAAGGAGCAAAATTCGCTGGGCTGATGTCACGTAGATAGACAAGAGACATGCAACTGACAGACAGATGGAGAGACACTGTGACACGACACATTGACTGACAGCTGCAGGGGCCGAGCCGAGCTGAGCAGAGCTGAGCTGAGTCGAGTCAAGTCGAGGCTAGCGGGCGCCATGGAGCGTGGCTCATGGGGCATGAGGCGTGGGGCGTGGGGCATGGTGCCCTGGCCGTGGGGCGTGGCATGGCAAGTGCAAAGGATTGTGCAAGAAACGGCGTGTGCAAACAAACCGAAAGACAAAAGCAAATGACGAACGTTTTGTTGGTTATACTCGGGAGCTGACAAGCCCAGAGCGCTGGAAAGAGCGAGAGGGAGGTGAGAAAGGGAGGGAGGCACGTAGAGCGCTGGTAAGCACTTAGATGAATATTGAGAGCGTCAAGAAATGACGACCAAAGGCAAAGGCAAGCAGGCAGCTCTGGTTCTTAGCCTTAAATACAACTTGAACTCGATTAAGTTCAAAGATTCATGGCTAAATGTATTTTAAATTATATTAATATGGAATAAAATGGATAAGGCAAGAAATACTGCATTCATTCTGATTAAATGCAGCTAGCTTCAGTTCAAAGCACAGCTACAAAAGCCCACGAATACTTTAAGTGCAGGCAATTGTATAGATTATGAAAAACAAGGAAGACGGCTCTAGTCAGAAGTGAACCTTCGTTATATAAATTTCAATCAGAGCAGAAAGCTCAATTGCAGGAGCTTCAAGTTTTTCCTACCTACCACAAAACTGCGTATGAACAGCTTTGAAAGCTCATTAAAGCTTTGGGCTAGATTGATTGTATGCACAAGTTAAACTTATTTTCGGGATTTATATTTATTACTTCCTCAAGACTGATACTATATATCGTTTATAATTCCAGACTGACATTAATATGACAGTTAACTTTAATTATCAGCAACGAAATATTGTAAAGCTACCCGAAGAGTGAAAAAAATCAAAGTAAAAAACATTAAAAAATTAATCGCAAGCGAAAATTGTGAGTCGTTTTTTTTGCTAGAGGAAAAACAAATAAAGGACACTTCCCTCAATGGCAACGGGCGGGGAGTGGGTTGGGGATTGGGTGGAGGGGTCAAGTGCAGTGTTGTCCTGGCGCTGATTTGTTCTTTTGACGAAACATTAGGCGGACAGGCGAAACATGAGACAGGAAGAAGCAGCATAAGGACGCATCCAGCAAAAAGTGTTTTTAATTTAATTTTTTTCACATTTAATTTTTGCGTTCACATTTTTTTGATGAAGTTGAAAATCATAAAACACAACAAAGGACCTGGGGGCAGCTCCTGGCTGAGCAAGGAATGTGGGCCGGGGGGATGGGGAGAGCGGGACGGGACGGAGCACTGCAAAATAAATAAGAGTAATTAAATTTCGTAACAAACATGACGAGATAATGGACCGAAGCCATTAACAGTGCCCGGACCGTCAGTCAGCCACCGTCTGACCGCTGCAAAGATGACGAGAAGAAGCTGTCGACGCTGGCTGCTAGGATAGCAGGTAAGCAGGAGAACAGGACAGGAGCAGCTGCCGGTCCATATATCATGCGCCAGCACTAGCCAGTAGCAGCTGCTTTAATGTCCTGTGCACTTTTCACATAACCTATGCCAAGCTCCTCAGTTCTCCCCAGTAATCCTCTGCACACGAACTAAACTCCCGGATGCCAATTTTTCTTGATTCCGCTGCTTCTTGGCGCCCAGTTCTGCGATGTAGTCATCTCAAGACTCGAGAATTATTGCATCATTTG